GGGGGGGGGGGGGGGGGGGGGGGGGGGGGGGGGGGGTTGGTCGTCATTTATTCTGCGCCTCGGATGGGGTGAAGAATTTCACAAGGGGCTTCGCTTTGAAACCGACCCACGTAAACCACCAGTACCTCCACGTGCTAAGGCTGTTAACGTGGTGGCTGAATTAGCCTGCTGGGCTGGGCTGTATTGATTCGAGTCGGAGAGGGCCTAAGGATGCGGTAGGTACTGGTGGTTGAAAATGCACCTTGCGCACAAAAGGTCACAAGTTCGGTTGAAAATGCACCTTGCGCACAAAAGGTCACAAGTTGGAGGGATTATCGACATGATGAACGATCCTGGACTGAGTGTGTGGTAGTGTACATGCTACATACCCTGGACTGCTTCTCGTGCAGGGAACATCACCCGGTCCGCGACAGGGAGGGCTTCTTTGTTCAACAAGATGAGCGCGTGGAAATTGCTGAGTGGTGTCCGATAGAGCGACTGCAACCAAAAAAGCAACACAGAGAAGAGTGAGGCAGTATCTGATAATTCATAAACAAATTTCACATTCAATTAAAAAGTAATGAAAAGTTGGAAAAAGAAAAAAAAACATTTTGTCACATTAAATAAAATAAATACTGACAAGACTGCGTACAGAAAACAGCAGGTTCCCCCCCCCCCACCCCCCAAGATAACAGCTCGAGAAGAGGGGATCTGCCGACATATCAACGAGCCTAGCTCAGTTGGTACAGCCAATGAATTGTTGAAATGCAGACCCCAGTCCAACTCCAGACATAGTCTGATGAACTCAATAAAATAAATTGAATTAAATTCTGAATTACTCGGGGTCGGTAAGTTCGATCATTTTTTCAATGATGATATATGAAGACCGTCACCTTTTGCAAAAAAAAAAAAGAAGGGATCTACCGACATGACAGATGGCTGAAGGACATGATGTCTGCAAGCGGATAGATAGCAGACACTACTACCCCCGAATAGAACACACGGTCATTATTGCTGTATCTAGTCTGAAATTTGGCCCAAATGCACCTAGAATGGTCCTGCATTCCAAAAAAAACAAAACAAAAAGAATGGTCCTGCATTCCATCGGGGAAGAAGGCGGTAATCTCCCAGACTGTCGTTTTCGGAAACCGCGGCCAATGAGCCTCACTCCACAAATCACCATGTGCACACAAGACAAAAAATATGGCAGTGTATCTTCCCATGTTCTAGCACAACATTCATTCTCATTTTGCACATTTGGTGAGTAGTGGGCCTCACATTACTGCTCACCATGCGCACAAAAGACAAAAAATATGGCAGTGTATCTTCCCATGTTCTAACAGTAGATTCATTCTCATTTCGTGCATTTGGTGAGTAGCGGAGCCAGGGCCTATATCTCATGAGAGAAACTCAGATTCGGACGCACATGCAGAGCAAGAGACACAGTAGGGAAAGCGCTCTGCACAGTAATTATTATAATTGTGAGAAAAGCAAATATATATGCCATTTTGCCAAAATGGACATTTTATCTTTTTTGAACTTTTTTGAACGAAATTGAAACCAGCTTACATAGAAAAGGATTTCTCCCCCAACTCGCCACTCCCCTCCAAAACATCCCCCTACTCCTAAAACGATCTTCGCTTAAACCCGAGAGTAAATCTTCGGCACCCCCATACAACCAGCAGGCATTCTTGCTCCCGAAACTATTTTGCCCCCCAAAAATGTCAAAACGTTTTAGCTCCCGACGGGCCGGCGTTCGTAAAACGCTGCACCCTCAGTAGCTAAAGACATATTTTGGGCCAAATAAGTTGGTTTCAATTGACTTCAAAAAATATAAAACGTCCTTTTTGAAACGGTATTCACCTGTTCGCAGTAGCGAATGCAGATCCCGGGGCTCGATCCCTAGACCTTACCTTACCTGTTTACATTACCTGTGTCGACCCCAGGAGTTGAACCCACGACATGTGTCTGTTCCCACAGTTGGTAGACTGTCGTAAGGTCCGTAGATGGTAGGGGTTCAATCCGTAGACCTGTTGGGTAGAAGTCTTATGAAGTTCTAGAAGTTGTAGCTGAAGAACTTCTGAAGGGTCAAGGTTGTAGCTGCTACAGTCCCGAAAGGTCAAGGTCGTAGCTGCTACAGTCTTCGAAAGGCCAGGACCAAGAGTTCTGGAAGGTCCTAGTTGTGGCCTTTCGAAGCTGCTCACGTTTAGGCTGAGGCAAGTGGGCAAGTGGTGGAGTCTACCCGTGCTGAGTCAGCGGTCCCAGTCCCAGTCAGTCCTAGTCCAGTCTATACGGGACTGTGTGCACCACGGGCATGGGAAAGGGCCAGACCAACGAGCTACAGAAGTATAAATCAAGAGGCAGCGCCCAGCCATTGATTCATTCCTGCGCAAGCCATGCGGAAGCGCTGCCACAGGGACTTGTGCGAGGTGGTCTGCAGTGAGCCCGAAGACGAAGTGGGCGAGAAGGAAGCTTAGCCATAGTGATAGGGTAGTAGCGGCAATAGCCGCCATAGCTGATAGGAGAGAGTAGCGTGTGTGAGTGTGTGAGTGTACAGTGTGCTGCGTGTGGGATATCCAGGGTGATCCTGTGTGCAAACAGCAGTGTTGAGTGTGTGTGCGAACAGAGTTGTCCAGGCGCTGTGGCGCCATAGCCATCTGAAGTTAACTTGTACCAGAACTGCGTTCTTGGTTACTATATCTCTGGTTTTCAGTGGGCGCTTGTCGCCAGTTTGATGCGCAACCTGTTTACATGCATGTGAAGTGTGAAAGATAGCGAGTCTGATTGCAATTGGTATCGGAGCTTGTACCCGCTATTCCACTCGCCATCGTCGTTGAAGAGAAGTCCGCCATAGTTGCCCAGCGGAAGAAGATGCCGCCACGCGCACCTGTAAAAGAGACATCGCTACAGGGAGAGAGAGAGAGAGAGAGAGAGAGAGAGAGAGAGAGAGAGAGAGAGAGAGAGAGAGAGAGAGAGAGAGAGAGAGAGAG